GCCTGTCTGAAGGAGTATGGACAGGAAAGACAGACAATGAAAAAAGTAGAATTACTAAAAATTATGAAGACTGGAAGAGGAAAGATGTGGAATTCCATTTTAACTATATTCAGCTTCTGTTGACAACTTGATATCCAAGAAGGAATATCAAAGATAGCTACAGCCTTGAGCCTAAACAGAAGGGAAAAAGTCAGAGGTACAAAGAGATGTATTAATTATGAGGTCATGCAGAAATAAGAATGTAGAGACGAGACAGAGCCCAAGCTGCTGGTTCCCTATTATTCATTCAGCATTGTGAAGGTGGCCTATTCAGTTTTTATCTAGTCCTAATCAGTTACATACAATATCTTACCCTAGGTTGATATTAACTTAAACAATATACAAAGCCTACAGCGGTGTTCTATGAAGGCTCATTCCTATAGAATAAAGAGCTTACTTGAAAATATTTTTATTTTCCCTTCTGAAGAAGTTTGGTCATTTTGATTTTTACCAGTTTAAGAAAGTCATATTGCTATACATGCTGTAGTTTGGCACATTTGCTAAATTAATCATGTCTCTCACAAACCATATACAATTTTAGATGCTCTAAACATTTGTCCACATTGAGGGGTTTTTAGATTTGACATTTTATCAATGTATGCACCACTTTCATTTCCAGTGTATGATCTTTGCATATCTGAGGACTTGCACTACAAGACATGGAAGCATATTTAAGGAGTTAATACTACAAGATAAAAGGGTGTTTTATTAGGACTGTGTTATTTTGTTGTGCAACAGCACCATCAGGCTATAAAACAAAATGGTGAAATATCTTAATATGAAGCACTTTCTAGACATGATTATAATTCTTCCATGTAAAAAGAGACTATAGTGAAGAACTACCTTGAGGCTGTAGTACTACAAATTCAAAACACATTTTTAGAACTTGTTGATACAGTTGAAAGCAGGGGCAAACATGCTATGGCCCTTTATTGCTGTGTTAAGAAAAAAACAAAAACATCTAACCCATAGCTCCCAACACTATGGCCTACCTCACTTTATTAAAAAAAAATGGAATGTAAGCTTTGTGATGTAAGGAAAAGGCCAATATCCTTGGCTCACAAAGATAATCACACAATTAGTGGAAGAACTCGAACTGTTGCATACATAAGGTTGTTTCATTTTGATAATTCATTACTCTACTGCATTAAATATGAACACAGCAGCCCCTGGTGAAGAAATATATAATATCACAATTGAAAGTAAACTTATGGAGAACTATTGAAAGGCACAATAATGTAATGTAAAAGCATTTGATCTCTTCAAGGAATTTTCATATAAAAAAAAGCTTGGCTGTTTGACAATGACAACGCATTGAGGTGTCCTAGAAATAGGATATATTTCTAGAAGTGCTGACTGGCTATCTTCTACAAAGCCACTTGTACATATAGTCTCTGCATTCAAATCTTACCTGTAGATCCAGTTTTGCCATGACACCTACAAGAAGCTACAACTGTCCACAATGGATAGTTGATCGATAATTTGGATGTCTACAGCGATCCTTTTATTACCAAAAACAAACTGGCCACTTATGTCCTATCAGTTCCCATTACCCTGTGTCTTCCTTTTGTTTTATGAGCTCTTCAGGGCATTAACAGTGCATTCTTTTCTGTTTGGAAAGCACCTAGCACGCTGGTGTAATACTAGAAACAAATTTATTAGTGGAGTCCCAAAATAGCAAAGTAAACATTTAAACACCGGTTTCCTTGATATTGGAGAGAAAGAGGAAGATACTACTCCTGCCCAAATCACTTTAAAATGCAATATACAGCCCTTGGCCAAAAGAACAGTTTTACACTTGGTGTTTTAATTCAACAAACTACGAAGAATATTTTATTCAGTTTTGAAGAGCTATCTTAGGTCATGTCTCCAATCATCCAAAAATTACAACTGCCAAGGGTTTCATGTTCAAGGGGGCCATCTGCTCTTAAGTTTGATTTAAAAAAAAAAAAAAAATCAGTTGTCAAGCTTTGTAGGCATGGCAGGACACAAATGGCTAGTGAAGATCCAAACTTTGAGACATGTTGGTTTTTTTTAAAAGTCAGGTGGTGGATATTAAAGGCAACTATGAGAAAGCTGAACTTCACGCAAAAGGCATGAAGAAATCAGTAATGGCATTGAAAGAAGAGTAAGATGGGAAGCAAGGTTTTGCATTAACTGAAGCAGGGTGGGCAGAAAAGAGATGACGAGATTATCACAATTTAGTGAAGGGTTTTAAGCTATAGGAATGAAGAAAGTTTTGTGTGACATAGGTGAGAAAAATAATGCCATGATCTTTCTTTAAGGAAAGACTATGTTGACTATAAACTTTAGTAAAACATACAGCAGATGACAGTGAAGAAGCAGTTCAAAACACAAGACTGCACTGACTGGGAGAGGGAAGTGCAGAGTAGTAGTAGCTGAAGCCATAAGAGCAGATACATCTTGCCCAAAGACACAGAGTGGAGGAGCCATGACAAAATGCTAGTGGTCACACTGGAAGATGATTTAACATTGACACTGAAGAAATGGGTGAAGAGCTTAATGGACTAGGACAACTGACATGACAAAGCCAAGAGGAGCAGTCAACTCTTTCAAAACTGTAGACAAACAGGAAGATTAGTACCAACCCAAGGCCCTTGCCTTATCAGACAGAAAGCTAATGCTAAGTGTGACTAGCAAAGGGAACAGAAACCAGCTCTCTAGTAAACCAAAAGGGGGAGAGGCAGTAAGTATTAAAGCATGTATGCAACATTCACAAGCACACTTGAGGCAAGACAGAAATGGTCCAACAATTAGAGAGGCCACATAGGCCGCCAGAAGTATGTCCTTGTATCCTCTTTCCCTTAAATGGGCAGGAGAAAAGTGGAATGAGAGGACAGGAGGAGGTCAAAAGGCTAGAAGGTAGTCAGAATGAAAGTTGGTAACAAGCAGGGAAAAAGAAAAGGTTAGTAAGGGGCAACTAAAATGTAGTTGGAGATGGTGATAGACTACATCTGGGAGAATTCTCTGGATAGGGTCAATTTTATCCTAAAAACTATTGTGAACAATGGTGAAGTTTGAGTCAGAGGTGGGGAAGAGATGCAGGAGTAGACTTGTTTAGAAAGGGGGCAGGAGTACCAAGTTAAAAAAAGCAGCAAGCTTTAGGGCTGAAAGGCTGTAGGGGAGCCTGGATTCCCAGCAGAAATGCTCTTCAACATAGCAACAGCAAACAACCAAAGCTGTGGATTTGGGATGCCAGGGAGAGAGGAGGAAACAAAGTGAAGCAGAGCATGCAATAACTAGCACTAAAAGGAAAGGCAGCGAGAAAGGTAGTAAGAGCTGCAGAGTAGTCAGTTCAATCACATCCATTAGTTCTCCATCCCCAGTCAGACAAATGCAGGGAAGCCAGCAGCAGCATCCAGGTACATGAAGTGGTGAAAAGGAAATACACAGTAAGAGCAATGCTTAGCAAAGACAAGGCCAAGGGTCACCAACACACTCATAAGGCACAAAAAAATGGGATATATCAGATGGGCACTAACCATGCAAACATGAAGAAAGCCAGGATGAAAAAGAGCTAGGCATCCAACAGAAGAGTAGTGAGAAAAACAGCAGACAATTGCAGGGAGAAACTGGAGACCATGAAGTGTTGCCAGTGTAATCCATTACATTACAGACAAAAGCAACCATCCGATCAACTGGAACACACATGCAGCATGAGTGGAAGTCAGCCAAGATATTCTTGCTAAGTCCATTGCAACAGGAGCCTTAACGAACAGTTCCACATTGTAGAAGTTACTCCCTCTGGCAGCATGGGACCATGGTTCACACTTTAAAGCCAACACTGGGGATTTTCTTAATGTTGTAAGATAAGGTGGTTGATTAGGCAGCAACATGAACTGCAGCTCTCTGCCTTGTTTAATGCATGATAGGTCCAGTAATCTAGTGTCACTTTCAGAAAAAAAATGTCAAAGGTGCTTTATGTACTATACATGCTCAAATTAAATTTAAAAAAAGTGTGAAGCCATAAAGTACTTACGTTGCTGTTTGAAAGTTCCATAGAGAGGAGGAACTGGCTACACAGTGCTATTAAATGCCCAAAATAAGATTTTAAGATCTTATCTTACATTAATTGTAGGTTAAGCTTTTTCAGTTAACAGTTTTTTGTTAATATCCACTACTATTTACCTGCTGGCGATGGTATAAAAAAGTATGTAATTGAAGGTAAACAGGTAATCAGAAAGCAAGTTATTAAGAGCAATGGAGTTCAACTTTTTCCCCTCACAAGCCTTTCCCTAGACAAGCAGATGGCTACAAATCTGATTAAACTTTTTTTTAAAAAACTAGAAATTAGTTTCCATTGAAATCCATTTATGTATTTTTTTCTAGTAGTAGCTTGTATTTTTTTTTAAGTTGTAACTTCAGTGATTGCACTGTTGTCAGATGCCTCCAATTAGAGCTGTGATAGTGTGACTCATGTAAACATTGGTTTTTGTACATAAATATGAAAAATGCAGAATAGGGACCTGCTACTTTAACTATTACACAAAACAGTAGGGTAGTACTTATCGGTTAAGTTGTACCAAACCAGTCTCAGTAGTTCCTCTTCCTCTGTAATTCTCGCTCTAAGCAGCTGCTCTGTCCCCCACCAGATATGCCGCTACGCCAAAAGTTGTTTTGAAGAAGTTGTCAAATATCAAGGCCAATTATGTGGTACTCAGCATTAAGTGAAAGATTAAGAATTATTTCCATAACTGCCTCAAGGTAATCTTTGTACATGTCTGTAGTGAACCTTTTAGGCACATAGTAATTACTATTTAGTTGCATCATGGTAGTACCTAGAAGCCCTACTCTGACCAGGATCCCATTGTGCTAGGAACTGTACAAACAGAAAAGCTGTCCCTGCCACACTATGTCCCCTTGCCCCTCAAAGAGCTTTACAATCTAAGGTAATGTTCTTTTTCAGTTGGCAACATCTTATGATAAAATAAACGTAGAGGCAATGTTAAAAATTTTTAATGCCTAGCTGACAGAAATCTTCATATGTACATAACATATAATAGTAAACAATACAGATTGTGCAATCAGTATGGTGTCCCTCCTATTGACTTCAATATATTCTCTCTCTCCTCTGCTGTAGGCATATTTGGTTTCACACCATCTCTTCTCCTTTGTATCATAACAGCATGCTGTAAACAGAAGAAAGCGAGTATGAGAACACACTGATTTCTCAGAAGTCTCTGCCTCTAATTTAGCTCCGAGTGAATGTACTTCTTAGAAGTTCTTTATAGCAGAAACTAGGTCCTTAACTTCAGTTAAATGCACTGGTATTAGTTAAGTAACATCAGATAATCCACTTTATCGTTTCAGTAGACAGTGAAAGCAAATACTTTTAAAGAACTACAGTATTCTCATGGCAATATGTCAGATTAACTGCATAATTGTGCAACCCACCAAAAAAAGCTGTTTGCAGACAAGAATTATTTAAAGTCATTAGCTAAAGGATGTTGCTAGTAGAGAACAGGAATGATTTCTCTGCTGATATTCCCACTGCAGAATGTTTTGTCTGAACAAGAAAAAGCTGGAGTTAGAAGGAAACTTAAGTGGCAGCAGCAGAACACCCCATGAGGAAGAAAAATAAAAGTTAGACTATATTAATAGGAAGCAAAATAAAGTGTAGGAGAACAATGTCAGGGAAGACAAAGTGAATAGAATGGTGAGGGAAGTTAACATAGGAAAGAAAACTCCCTGATTATATTGTTTAAAAATTTTGTTCTAATATATCCATGAGATTTGGGTCAGGATATAGTACCAGTACTAAATTATAAGATTCAGAAGGAGACAGGGGTATTTAACACTGCAAAAAACATTTGAGTAGACCCACTCAGATTTGTAAAAAAGGACAAATATAGCAGTTTAAGACTTGCACCTATGCATTACTTTAACTTCTGAAAATTAGTTAGTATAATCATTGTTCTTAAAATTACACTGTGGCAAAACTAAAATTATTTTTGTTCTAATATTTTCATTTTAATAGTGCTAAAACAGTAATGAAAGAACTTCAATTCATGTCAGAATATTGACAGGATAAACTGGAATTATCTAGTGCAAAAAGTTTGATTAGTGTTAGGCCTTAGTTACCAGGATAAACTCAAAGGACTGTTTTGTTAAACCAAAATATTCTGTTTGAGAATTTTGCTCAAGACTACTTACCCAAAATTTTCTGCAGTTTTTGTACTTTAAAAAATAAGAGGCACACATATCCTTTCTGTAGTTATTGTCATCCATACATTGTCTAGAAGCATCTGTTTCCTTTAATATGGAAGACAGGTCACACTTAAGAGCTGGTGGGGATAAATATATTTACACATTTTTAGTGTAATATTTCATTCTAAAAAATCCCCAGAGTATTTTATAAATTAAGATTAAGGGAGGCAGCCAACTTGTCTGAGTGCTACAAACAATAGTTGGGGAAGTAGGAGAAACTTTGCATCAAGGATACTAGGGCAAACTCCTGCTCTTACAAGAATCATAGAATATCTGGGTTGGAGGGGACCTCAGGAGGTCATCTAGTCCAACCCCCTGCTCAAAACAGGGCCAATCTCCAATTTTTGCCCCAGATCCCTAAATGGCCCCCTCAAGGATTGAACTCACAACCCTGGGTTTAGCAGGCCAATGCTCAAGCCACTGGGTTATCCCACCCCCCAAAGAAAGGCCAGGGAATCTGAAAGCAAAGACTTCAATTAGGAGTTGTGGCTGCTCAGCACCTGTGGGGGAAATAAAAAAATCAGGTCATCTGTCCTCAGAACGCAGACAGAAGTTCTGTTTGGTTCTTTCAAAAGGTATCCAATGCAGTAAACAGCAAAATACTTGGGGGGTGAGGTTTTTTTGGGTAATTAAAAAAAAGAGGGGAACAAATCCAAGCTACAAGGATTTAAGTCTGTCCTTGAAACCACAATCAGAATCCCAAACCTGATAACTAGAAGCCTACCCCATCCATTCGTGCAAGAGCTATTAGTTTCTGAACTTAATATTTTTAACTTAAAAGGTCCAAATATTACTGATGTTTACACGAACACATACACCCCTTCAGAAGGAATATGAAGCAATATAAACGACTTGCTTTTAGAAGGAACTATCTGGGTAGTTTTCATACCCCTATAATAATGCATCTTCAGACTAAACCATAACCGACCAATCTTACCGCTAGACATGGATTTGTATCGTGGTCTCTAAGTCGCTGCACATTCCTGGACATCCTAAAATGTCTTACTGCAGCTAGAAGCAGGAAAGAAAAGAAGTTTTTTTGTATTTGACCCACAAGCGCCATTAATGTTAACAGTCTCAGTTTGAATTTCCATTTTAAGTGGTTTAACACAGAAACCTCTACCATAGTACATACACGCAAGATCTGAGAGATTTTTTTTTAAACATATAATTTAGAAAAAAGGAATATAGAAACTTGTTTGGTTTTCTGCATACAAGAGGCCCAGTTTTCCACTATATAAGGATGGTTCATGCTCCTCTGATAGTACGAAGCAACTCAGACCAGTTTAACCAGTCCTAGCTATGCAGTAGCTCCTATGCCAACTCCTGACTATTAGTGTAGGGATTTGACTGAGGAAAGGGGTATGTCTCACATATTCCTACACCTCCAAATTCGCCAGATACTACAAAAGGCCCTGTGGCTTTTAACAGCCACTGCATATTTAGAGAAAACTCAAATTGTTCTAATTTAAACTGGTGACTAGCCTAGTACCCAGATGGCACAACACAGAATTGAAAAGCAACAATGTGCACACGCAAAGCCCTCCTAGCTTGGGCCAAGTGCTCCTTGGCCAGTCCACAAGAATCAGGGCCATAGTGGAAACTAAGCTTTGAGTACAGAAACATCTAGACCTACTACTATATTACCAATTAGTGACATGTTTGACACACAAAAAATAGTTCCCTAGGGAAATATCCACTTAGATTCTACTTAACCCACATTTAAAAATCAGATTGTTAAACAATGCTTACCTACGAATATTGTAGCTAGTTTCCAATTGCTAAACCAGTGTAAAATAAAGTAGAAAACTAGTTTCAGTTTGACACTGAGCTTCCTACTTGAGCTCATTATTTTTCTACAAAAAGCTGCTGTTAAAGACAAACTTAGAAATATAAATATAATTTAAGAGTATCTATAGTAAAAATAGCATCCTGTACTAACTCTGCTTACATCAGTAACAAATCTATTTAGTCCTTTTTACCACTGCAGAGCCAATACACAGGAGGTAGTGGGATTCTATTCCTTTTTGTAAATCAACTGAATTGTTAAGTTTCAGCTGTAGGCCATATTCTGCCCTTAGGTACACTTGGGGAGCCTCTCTGAAAACCAGGTTGCCCAGGAGCTACTAATGGCAGAATTTGGTTTCCTAGTTAGTTTGGGGGTTGTTTTATTTACACCACAGGTAATTGTGTACAAGGGAGAAACAGCTACTTCAGTTTCAGATCTAAGACCAGAGTATATAGTTAGAACATGTTTTTTAAACAGAGTTTGAAGTCACTGAAACAAACATGGAACTCTGATGCCTTTTTAATAAGCACTTTTCCACAGGAGAACCATACTTTAGAACAGTTTCTTTTGAGAAGTATTTGAACTCTCAGATTTTAATGCTGAGGGAAGACTGCATATAAGTTAAAAATGTTAACTCACCTACTGAAAGTTTTTTTAGCAACTGTTTTCACAGAGAGCTTGATATTTTAGTTGTATTTTAACTTTGGTATCCGGAGCTAAATATTCCGTTTCTTTGCTAGAGCAAGAGTGTTTTTGATCACACAGGGTTTAAAAATAAATGGATGTACACTAACCAGACAACCAAGGATTGCAGAAAAGGCCAAAAGAACTTACATCCCATCAACATCAATGCTGTTAACATGAAATTTCAGAAGTTTGCCCAAGTATTACTTATAACTAGTGTGTTGTGCTCATTTTAGAAAAGCATGATCAATAAGGGAACATTGCTGGTATGCTTTTAAGACTATCTTCATGAAAGTGACCATTCAATGAAAAGGCTGAAGGTAACTTACTGGAAGCAGATTTTGTCTAGTGTTCACACTATTGTCAGTCAGTCCACAAATGACTAGTAGCTCATTTAAAGCTGAGGTATTTCCAGTGCTTGTCAATCGGTCTAGTCCAATTGACAATGAAATGTAGGAAGTGTACTGATTGTAAATTGAGGTTTAAAAAGTAGGTTTTGTTCTTATAAAGTTGCTTATTGATTTGATTTAGAATGTACAAAAGCTTAAATATGCTAGTCTATGTGCAAACATACTAGGCACTACTACAAAAAAATACTTCATAGATAAGGGCACACGGAAAATAATCTGATGGCTCCTCAACTGATTTTTCTATCAAGTGCTTCAACAACATTAGGAGCACAACCTACTATCAAGCCTGACAGGCAGGTAGGTCACATGCAAATGCTACTACTATTTGATTTAAGTTAACAGGAAGTAATCGCTCCTCTCCCTCCCCTCGGTTTTTACACATCTACAGGCTGACCTTCCTGCTTTAGGAATACAGGGCCAACCCCGAACACATCAAGGGTTTGTTTATACTACAGTTTTTAATTATGTTTTACTAAATTAGTGAACAGTTGTAAACAGCACAGGCAGGGAAAATATTACTAGTACAGTTTAACCCTAGGGCAGACTTGCAGTTCAAGAGCCATCAAGCTATTTTCCAGGGCTCCCACTGCTGCCAAGTCTTTCAGCGGAGCCTAGCACCGTCAAGCCCCTAACACGGTCATTAACGAGGAGGGCTGAATTAACACCTCGATCTGTGAGGGCGGAGGAGGAGGTGGTTACAATAGGTGGCTGAGAGCGGTTTAGGGGCGACCCCTCGCCTGGCCTCTCCCTTCCCAAAGCGGGGTCAAGGTGGTGCCCCCAAACACCTGCTTACGGGCAAGTCGCTTTCGCGGGCGCTGCGCTCCGGGAGCCCGGCGGTTCTCGGGCGGCCCCCCAGGCTCCGTCCTTGAGCTGCCCCCCGGGGACACGCAGCACACGCCCGGGGGCCTGCCACACGCTTGCTCCCCCGTTTCGCCGGCAGAGGGTCGGCGCCGCGCCCCGAGAGGTGGGAGGGGGACGGGGCGCCCCCGCCGCTCGCAGAGGAGAGGGGCTGCGGCGAGGATCACTTGCTCCCGTGACAGCGAGGCCGGAACTCCGGGGCGGGCTCGCCCGCCTCTCCGCCCAGACCCCTCAACTGCCCGGGGCGCCCCCTGCCGCCCGGGCAGCCGGGGAAGGGAAGCGAACGGGCCCCGCTGCGGCTTCCTCCCCCCGTCTCCTCCGCCCCCAACCCTGAGGCGGGACGGCAAAGCCCCGCTCCTGGAGCGGCGGGTCCCCGGCCCCCGCCGCCGCCCGGGCCGGGCTGCAGGGGGAAGGCGGCGCGGGACGCCCAGGCGGGCACGTCCCGGCGGCGGAGAACAGCCCGCCGCACCCCGGCCCCGCACTTACCTCGCGGGCGGCTCAGTAGGCGCGCGAGCCCCGTCTCCAATTCGAAAGACGTCAGCGGGGGCTCAGGCGGCAGCAGTTATGTAGGGGCGCAGCCTAGCCCGCTCCCGGCCCCGCGGCTCCCCCCGGACTGACACCGCCGCCGCCCACTCCCGGCTCCTCTGCCGGCTTGAGTGACAGCGCCGGGCCCGCGGCCGGGCCGCCAATCCCCGCCAGGCCCCGCCCCTCCCTGGCCTGAGCGGCGCCTCCTTCCACCAACCAGGCGGGCGGCGCGGGCCGCAGGCGCCTCCAGCGGGGCGCGGCCGGAGCCCTGAGTGACGGGGGGAGGCGGCCAACCCGCGGCGCGTGTGGGCGGCGGGCGGTGTGGGCGCGGCGTGTGCGGCAGGCTGGGCTGCACCGCAGCGCATACACTACAATGGCTGCTGGAAAGAGGGGAAAGCAAACAATTTCCAGGCCCGCCGCGTCCAGCCCGAAATATGGGAAAAAAATTACAGAAAAATCGGAGAACACTGTAAAGGGTGGAAACGGGGCGCAGAGGGGATGCTGAGGCTCCCGCGGTGAGTCTGCTGCGGGTTTGGGGGGCAGGCGCCGGGGTTTAGCAGGGAAATATCAGGGTTATTTAAATTATGAAGGGGGAGGAGGAGAAGGAGGAGGGGGGAGCGGAGAGCGGAGCAGCGGCAAGGAAAAGTTTGTGTTAATCGCGCCCCCTCCCATCTCTGAGCTGCCCCCACCATCCTTCTGGGGACCCCAGGGCAGAAAGTAGGGGAGAAAAATACATAGCCCGGAAAATGTATTTTATAAAAATATATCCTAGGAGTTTAGTCCACCCACCCCCCCCCCCCTTCCCTCCTGCACCGTAGTAGTTAAAGAGGGAGAGAAGTTTGCCTGGGGAACTCAAGGAGGGAGAGGGGTTCTCCCCCCCCACCCCTTAGCTTCGTTGGGGAGTTCTGAAAAGTTTTTTGCAGAAGTTTTTTCCCCCCCATCTTCTAGCACCCCCCTCCTTCTCCAGGGTCTGTGCTGTGAATAGAGTGACAGCAGCGAGAAGGAGCGGAAGACATTAGAGACCGTGTTGCCCAAAAATGAGGGAAAAATTAATATAAATTCACCCGAAGTATCAAACCAGGCGCATTTTGCACAAAAATTTCCCGGGTGGACCCCAGTCTCCAGAGTGTGTCCTAGGAAGTAGGCAGCTCACTCTTTTGGGGGGATCTGGAGTCACTTTGGGGAACTCGGCCCCCCTTTCCTTCGTTTTGTGTGTGTGGGGGGGAGGACTAAAGTTTTTCCCTTCATAATAAGGAAAAGAATGTATCTGCTCTCCCCCCTTCGAGTCGCCCAGGAGCCTTTTGCTTCCCTCATTCGAGTATGTTTAGAGGAAAGTGTGAATCCAAGTTAGTGCTGAGTGTTGTTGCATTGGGGAGAGGGGTTTGTTAACTGAAAGCAGGAGAGATCCGGAGAGAGAGAGAGCAGGGACAGCTTGTTGTCAGTATCATAAACAACCAAAATGGAGGGAGAACTGAGGCATATAACAAAATAAAAATTAGAAAAAAATTCCCAAAAATACTTAAAAATCGGGGCCGATCCCCCTTTTCTTCCTAAGGGTAGCAGAATAAACCCCGTGTCCTTGCATGCCCCTATTAACGTTTCAGGGAGCAAGGAGTTAATATTTATTATTTTTTTTGTTGATGAATTCTTTGGAAAGGCAAAAGCCTCTTATAACTCGCCACCGACAATAAGAAAACGTGAAAATCCCATTCAGATGAGAGTGGTGGGGGGAGATGATACTGTAGAAACTACATAATTTGGGGGTAATGTGGAGTGATTTTTAGATAAGATAAATGCTATAGTTGCTCCTTTATAACTTCCTTTTTAATGCTCTTTGTGTACAGTTGGTTTCTCTTTTTCTTGTTTTTTGGCCGGAATGTAATGCCTTTGTAGTGTCACTTTCTTGATCTAATTAGGATGTGTGAAGCAAAGAGTAAACCTTTCCGGTTTATAAAGTACATTTTCGTTGCATTTGAAATTCAAATTTTACTTGTGACTCCATCCTCTATTTAAACTGGATTCTTCAGTGTAGTGCTGGATTGGAACATTACCTCATAGAGAGAAAGTGAGGGCACCTCTTCTGGCGTAGAGGGCGCAGAGTAAGGGCACCTCTTCTGGGGATGCCTTGTGATTTCACTGGCATGCTTAGTTCACCTGTCTGTGTCCCATAAAGAATGTATTCAGCAGCCTTCTCGTTTTATTTATATAAAATGATGCCTCATCTTGCATCACATTGAAGTTAATGCGAAAGTGCTGCTGATGTTGGTTCCACGTGGGATCAGGGACAGAGCAGGGCATTTTAAAGAGACAGCTTCTCTTTTCTTATAGTTCTCACCTATGCAGAACCTCTGCCTAAAGCAAAGGGGTGGTTCTGGGTTTTTTTTTAGATAAAGACATTAAATTGACCTTTGTATGATAAATTAATGCCACATAATAGGGATAAACTTGCAGATTCATTTGGATCCAAGCATTTCTTTTGTGCGTAGCAAGCCTTCAGGAGAGTTTTCTTAATGCATTAGTTAAAATGCTGTGTTTTGGAAACGATTTTGGAATGGATGTTGCAGAAATTAAAAAGTAACATTATTAATATAAAATATAGTATACTTCTACTAGTTCTCAATTTCTTGAAAGGAGACTAAAGGCTATTATGTAACAAAATTTCATAGCCATCTTGTAAAAAGTTATTAAGTGCATAATTTTCACTTTGAGTAATTTCAGCTTTATGGGGGACATGTAACTGTCTGTTGAAAAGCAGTGCAAAGCTTCTTCTGTATTTAAAACCTGTGAACAGTTCCAAAAGGTTTTGAAAATAGTGCAATAACTGTTTGCTTTTAATTGGCCAAACTAAGGGCTTTTTACATGTACACCTTAGCTGTGTAATTCTAACATCTCTTGAAAAATTACCTTCAGTTTTTTAAAGAATCTTAACTACACTCAAGCTCCATTTATATACATTTAACATCAGTATGGTAACTGGTACAGATTTCTGCTGTATTTTTAATTTGTAAATATTTAACTACTATGATGTGAATTGTTCCACTTGTCTATATGTCTGTATCTTGCATGTATTTTAATTCTCAGTAAGACATCTAACTTTTAAAATTCTTAGCATAACTTCTTAATATACTAATTAGATATCTTTATCAGAAATTATTACATTTTTTCATTACAGTTGATTTGTTTGTGTAGCCTTTATATTTAATTCTAAATTAAAACTTAAATACAAGGAATCCACTTCCGGAGATAGAAGGAGGGCTGAACTTGTAGGGAAGCCTTTTCAGCAAATGGCTTCTTTTGCCCTATAGACATTAAATATGAGGTGTTATAGGCCACTGTGTTCAACAGGCTGTGCTTACAAGCAATCCGTACCTTTATTGTAAATGTGACTTGTTGACTGGGATAGGCTTGTGGTTACAGATTTGGAAGAAATCACACAGTTTTCCAGTGACTCAAGCTTTGAAAATTAAATCACATCAACTATTCTTAGGAAAAAAAAAAAGCTCATTAAGGGGGAAGGATTAATCTGTTAGTATGAAGGAATGAAATTGTACATTTTTACAGAACTGTCTTTCCATGTTTTAGAGATCTTCCATATATTTACAAAAGAATTCAAATTTAGAAGGGCCTCTCCAATTATTTTTCCATAAACCTTTTCTTTTTTTGTTGATTAAAGTTATACTTACCTAAAAAAAACCAGAAATTTGACAAAATTCTTGAAGTGTCATATGTTTATTTAGTGTAGTGCAATTTTTTAGTTCTTTAGTTATACAGAAGTAACTTTATTACACTAGTTAATGATACCGAAAATAAGTTTTTTTTTTTTTTAAATCTAAACTAATGCTACATTGATGATTATCGGAAGTATTTAATGTAAGACATCTCATTTATTTGGAAACTTAAATTATCATTTACTTTTTGTAATCCTGAATATAGATATAGGCATTGTTCATAACATCAAGTGTGGTGTAACAGTTGCTGAGTATCTTTCTTGACTCACAACTGCTTATTGTGAAGTGAATCCAGTACACCCAAGTGTAGAACAAAATTCAGACGCTCTAATTTGGGTTTGATCTATATTCTATTTTTCTACTTGAGTATATGTTAAATGTTACTTGATAGTATTCTTTATACCCCTAGTTGCTCTCATTTTGTAGAATACAGAGTTATTCTTGGAGCGATGAGGTGATGTTTGGTAGAAATAAAAGTAACATTTCAGGGAACTGAAGGTTTTAGAATTTAGATTTCCTTTTTGTAATATCTATAGCTCTGACTTGATACATGATAAATCATTTGAAAATTTGCCCTTTAAGTATCTAAGGAAATAAATGTTCATGGGCTGTTGTTGGTAAAGTTGTCCTAGTTTCTGTAGGTAAACTAGAATGTTCTAAATGCATTAAAAACTTTTGTAGGCATTTATCTGTCCTATCAGATAATGTTTGCGTAGGTTTTATTAGCTACAGAGATTCTAAAATTGTTCAACAAATGCAAGAATATAGATTCTCATACATTAAACTTTTCTTGCACACTTAATCTAAGTATGGTTCTTGGCATGCACACTTTATTTAGTAAATTAGTCTGAAAAATGAGTTTCCCCAAGCACAGATTTTTGAAATTTAAATTACAATTTTTTCAAGTTTTTCACTTTATTTAATGCAAAAATTCACTGCATCCAAAGTGGAACTATTTTTAATGGTCATCCATCTGCAGAGCTATTGAGTCAAAATGGTGCCCTTAAGTCTCCTCCTTTCAGTGCAGTGCAGATGTTTTATAAAATGAATGGGATAAAGTGGGTGACTACTTATGTTCTGAATTAGCAAGTATTGTAATGGTTTTAAATGATTTTACTGAAAGACTTGTTTTATTTCAGAAACTAAAACCTAAGGTTTTTTATCTGTTATCTATAACATGGTAGATCTTAAAAACTAGCTTTCATGATTAGAAAAATTTTGTTAGGAAGGTGTCCTAAACAAGTTAATTTGTTTACCAAAGGATAATATTTTGGAAAATGTAAAACATGTAACAGTGCTTAAATCATCCTCAGATGCATTGTAGTGTTAAAAGGAACTAGCAACCATCTCTACTGAGGTGACAGTATACTTGGTGAGAATATCCTCTTGAAATAGAATAGTGAGCTTTTAACTTTCTTTACTTTTGATATTGCATATTTCTATCTGCCCAGTGAACTGCTAACCATCTTTAACCAATTACCAAATGTTTAGGTAGCTTTAGGGAACTATTTCAAAATAATTCAAATATGAGAACAAAGTAACATTTTATATTGATCAGTTGTGAAATAAGTGTTTTGGCGTTCTAATGTATGGCAGAAGATTGCTGCATTTAGCTAGCAAAATATCTTGCTAATAAAATGTGTGTTTTTTCCTGTTAATCAAAAATCACATCTAGGACTTAGTCAAATGTTTATTGATTTTATAAATTATGCAAACTTGGGGTTTGAACTTAAAACATATTACTTATAACTCATTAGACTTGCTCAAGCAGGTTCGTATACTTTAAATTATTTTAATGTAATGGGGAACATAATTATCTATTATCTACAGTTGAATAGATTGCAATTAGTAATGGATTTTAAATGACCACTTGTCCACAGAACATCAAACATAACTACACCAAATATTAAAAGAGTTCTAATTGTTTTGTATTACAATAATTAGAAATCTTCTGCTATGAGAACCTAATAATGAATAGCTTTGATCATAATAATGCCATGTTAAGTTCTGCTTTCAAGTATATTAATCTGCTACTTGGATTCTTTTCTTCCCTCTACCCTCAAAGTGCACACCTGCCATTCTCATCTTTTTAGGGCATATTAGCAGAAACTCCAAGTACAATTTCATATTTTAAAAAAAAGTTGACAAGACATTCTGTAATACTGTAAAAACCCCAAAATTGTGATGTGATACTACTTACAAAGATGGGTCATTCTCACAGAATCTATTAAAATTGTTAATATTTAAATGGTCCATGGATAACTTGTAAACAGAGTTACTGCAGGATCGTGGTATTAAAACTGCACACAGTGACTGAGGGGAATCTGAGATGACTACATATGAAGTGTGTGTGTGCATACTTGAACATTGAGAAGTGAGAGAGCTTATGCAATTATACTCCTGTTAATAGGATAAATTAGCTTGTTTTGTAAGCTTTCCTAATATCTCTTATTACCTTTAAAATACACTTATTTGTTTAGAATTTGAATACATTTTGTCCAGTATATTTTAATAAAAAGTAAATGGATAAAATTCTGTTCTCAGATGCACCATCAAACCCTGCTGATTTCAGTGGAGTTGCATAGGTATAAATGAGGGTAGAGTATGGTCCAATGTTCATGATTTTTTTTTTGGTCAAAATAATAAAGCATAAAAACAAAGACTAAAATAGGTAAAACAAGTGAATGTACCCAAGGTAGGCAATAATGCATAGAACAGTAATTTAAAACTATGAAGTAAAATAACTTTATTGAATTATAAGAAGTTAAGTGGGAACCAGAAGAGCAAAGTTTAATATGACCATAGAAAGAAATGAAGAAATACATATGTAAAGGAACTTGGAAAATACAAAAAGTGTCTATTCCAGTAAATTGAATTGTTATAATCTTCTTTTGCACTTAACATGCCAAATGCCTCTCTGAGGAGAATATCCCTAGAAATCAGATTAGAAAGTGTTTAATGGGAATTTTGTCATACTTGTTTTGAGTAACGTTAGGGTAACTAAAAATAATTTGGTGTTTCTGTAAAAGATAGGTCATCTAGTTGTGTAGTTTGCATGCTGATAGTGACCTAGAATTTTCAGTGAATGTCTTTTCAAATCTTTACTATCACATATACTACAATCAAACAATTTACTGTAAAGTTCTACTCTGCATATAGTGCGTACAGAGTCGTACATATTTTGATGTGGGGTCAAATTTAATATTTTTAGACTGTCAAAAACTCTAGATTTTTCATTAATACAATTTGCGTAGTAGAATCTTGCTTATTCACATTGATTAGGGATCCCATTCCCAATTACTGAATTGTGCAAATCATAAAGTAAGCAAATAAAAAGCAAGGATAATGCATCACAAAGCTCATCTTGTTTGTTGATTTGACAAGTGTATACTGTGGTGTATCTAATTTAGTAGTAAATGTTCTGTAACATATTTTGAGAAAGCATTCAAGTCTGAATTAATGAGACATCACTACAACATCATGCTGTTAAGCCTTTGAGAAGTGCAAAGACCAATTCCTATATACAAATTAATGAGATTTTACTAGACTACTTTTAATAAGCCAGTGCTTACTGTGGTGTATGTATTCATCATGGCTGTTACCAATTTCTTTAAAAATGAGGCTTTTCTGATCTGTTAGGGAGGATGTTGCAGTCGTTGAATTCTGTATAATATAGAAAACTATTCCAGACTACTAAAACAGACCTTTTGAAAAGGACCATTTAAAAAAAGAAAAAAAAATTCTATCCCAAAAGTAAAGGAGTTCTGGCAGTTTAATAATAATCTTCAAAACTGTATATTTAGTAATAAAATATATGTTAGACTTGGTAAATTTTTATTATTTTTTGAAACTCTTAATATAAATAAAAATTCCTAAAGTGATATTAATTGTACATTTAGTAAAATTGCTTCATCTCTAGCGATTACACTATTCATCACTTGTAAGTATGGATTTGCATTTTCATACTCAATATCTAAAATTGAAAAAATTAACCTCTACAGCTTGCAGTTATTCTTGTGTGTTTAGTCAAATGGCATACTACAAAGGGTTTCATATACATGACTTACTGAATATTATCAGATACTATTGTCCATTTCCTCCAAAAAGTATTTTAAACAAAATGAATGAAAAAGCCCTTAGAATTTAGCCACTTTGTCTGAAAGCCAAGTATAGATATTGTCAAAGCTGATTTTGTTCACTGGAAGATATTGTAGTTAATGCAGATTTAATTGATCTCGTCCAGGAGACTTTAAGAAACTGTGAACCATGGAGCTTAAAAAACAGCTCAAACATGGCTGATCACAATAGGTGCCAGTTTAATCTGAATCTGGTGGACTTTTCTTAGTGACTTGACATAATTTTCTTTAGTGTCTTAATACTGGGATTATGTATAGGCTAAACCATTCTAATTAAACCCAACCAAAATATATTATGGGCTACTTTTCAGTTTCAGAAAGAGTAATAAAAATATTGTTGCACATATGAGTGAATGATATTACTACATACTGCTTTAAATGGTGTTTAAATACAGGTATAAGCATACCAATACAATGAAATCGAGAGGACTGTTATTCCTAAGTGATAAAACTTCATGATTTGTTACTTAAGAAGTTATTGATAAGCATATTATGTTATATCTAGTTATTCAGATTGTTCTTGCTGATGTAAAGTTCATGACTGTAGCAACTACCATAAAGAGTTCATATAAAATAATTATCTAGTGTTACACTTTCGTTCTTTATGCTTTTCCAATGTAATTGCTTCCTTATAATAATTTTTGAAGATGTGTTGCTTCATGTAAAATGTTTGTGTATGTTTCTCTTTGGTCCAGAAATCAAAGTCAAAAAGTGGTCTTGACTTTTATTCTCTCAATTAGTTTCTTCCTATGCATGACATCACTCTTGCTGGTAGTATTACAAATATAGAAATTGGATTGTAAGCTAAAATGGAAGACTAACTACCACTGGTAGTTGGGTGATGGGAGAAAGCCCAAACTGGATGAATATTGATACTAGCCTCTGAGAAAGAGATGTGAGTTCTTGAGGACTTGGAGTACTCCTTGCAATCAAATATATGATGTATTATCATTTCCCATAGGAAATACTTGAGCATACTCGTTGCTACCAACTGCTGTAGAAAGCAAACAGAAAAATAGATTGTGGTTTTAAAAAAAGATGCACTGTGAAATACATTACTTGGTAAGTATCATTTGTATAGGTAACTCATTTCCCTGAAATGTAATCAATTTTTCTACCTTTGAAAACTGGACCACTCTACAGTATTTTTTTAAGAGAGCAAGTAAGCTAAATATATCTTGGATAGCAAGTAGATACAGATGGTACTAAAAGTCAGTGTGTTCATGTAAATCTAACTTGATTCTCTTTGTTAAATTTATATGCTGAAAGAGAAGTTGATTTTTGAGTAATCTTTAACTGACGAGTTTACTAGTTCAGTTGTTTGCAAAAGAAGTAAGGGTAGTTTGGCATATGTATGAGTCTTTTCTATTTTTAAGATATTTTCATGGAAGTTTTTAAAATCTTGAATATAAAAAGAGGGTGTATTTTTCATGATACGTGGTGGGAGGGGCGCTCTAGCAATTTAATCTGGTGGGGATAGACATTTTGAGAAAAATGAGGCCCAGTAGTTTTTACTACTTCAATCACACTGTTAGTTACAGCCATGAAGCTCTCAATATATTCAGTTAGCTTGGGTCAAAGTCCACAAACCCTGCTTGGGAAAGTTGATGTCACTAAGAGTTTTGTCTCAGTAATGACTTTAGGATTGTATTCTTTGTTCTTCATAGGGGTGAGTGACAAGCAGATGGACACCTCTTCGTTGATATAGATTATACAGTATTAAGCTTTCCTCTGATATATGTGTACATGTTTTCTGAAGGAATTAACTCATTATGTTAGATAACCTATTTTAGTGATAAATCTCTTTATTCTCTGAATTAACAGAGGCTTCTTTTATGTCCAGAGTTTCATGTTAAGATCGTAGTTAAACTGTGCTTGAATATGATGAAATAATCATTTCTATCAAACTGTCCTTTTAGTGAAAGGGTTGATAATAACGTCATTTATGGTGTTTTAATAAAGAAAAAAGTCATCTCTTTGAGTAGGAGTGGAATACTCTAAAACTAGCTCCTTAAGTAGTACTTAAACTTAATTATATTCAGCTCTTATGACAGTTGTGGGAAATGTGCATTGCAGAATGTAGGGCTTAGCTGATTTGTGAATTCTTCCCTCCCAACACATGGTAAATAGGTGTAGTCCCCTCCCTCCCAAAAAAAAGGAAAAAAGCTTTAAAGGCAGTTTATTTGCATGTATATCCAGCCTTTCTGAAGCAGAGGCCTTTGCAAGAAATTAAAGGAACTAACGACAAAAATAGGTTTGCATCTCTCTTAAAGTTTTGATGTGCTGTACATATTTGTAAATGCATGCTGTGACTTCATATAAACTCAGATATTTAGATTGGAAGACAGAGAACAAAATATATGCACAGCCTGTTGTGTGCAGCCATGCAGTGTATGACAGTGCCCAATTCTTTAGCCCAGTTGTCCTGCCCTTTTGCCCAGGGAACTGAGGTTGCTGCCTTTAGATGCGAGTCTATTTCATATGTTTCTCTGCATTTGATAGGCTTGTTAGTAGCTTAAGCAGTTTGTTTCACGTGACTGCTTATAAGGTGCTCTTATGGGCAGTGTCAATAATAATATATGGTCTGATCTATAGAACTTTTAGACAAAAAATACGTAGTTTCCCTTTGTGCCCTCAAGCAGTAAAGCCATCAGCTGTTCTTCATTGCAAGCCAAAAAATACCCAACCACAATTAAATTCAGCCAGTACTCCCCTACCTCACAAGCCCTCTCCCCTTTTCATTCCCAAATTCTAAGTAAATTGATAGTCATTACAGTATGCCCTGCGGATCAAGAGTTTCATGCTGTTTCAGTCCAAGGACTAGATTCAAAATAGCGAGCACCTGCCAGAGAACAATCTAATGACAGCTCCCCTTCTCTTTATATCAAAGGGACTCCAGTTTGTGTGTCTTCTGATTGTTGGCATGAGAAGAGAAGCGTGTCTCAAGTAGGCAAGAACCAAGTCATTTAGGGCTTTGAGTCAATACCAGTACTTCAGACTCCATTGTGAACCTAATCATCAGCCAGGGCAAATCAAGGAACACTGGTGTCACGGGCTTCCAACAAGATAACACAGCGACTTGGTTAGTAAATAATTTAACAGATTACCTCTTTCCACACTGAAGGGCAAGGGACTCTTCTTTTTTCTTGCCACTTTCCTGTTCAGGAGTGGTGACTTTTTATAGCCTTTTTCCAAAACTCATAATTGTATGCCTGGCTGCATGCAAACTGGTGTGTCTAAGGTCTGTTGATATCCAGTCCATGTACTGAGTCTTTGGCCTCCCCCTTGGTTGTCTTCAGTCCACAATCATTGTAAAGGCCATCTTACCAATATAACTTGGAGGTCTCCGCTGGACATGTCCATACCAATGTAGCCTCACCTTCCTCAACTTGTCCTCAGTTGGGGCAAGCCACAGTAGGCCCCTCCCAGTCTCATTTTGTTTTTTATATTGGAGTATCCAACCATTTGACCATCTGAACATCTTCATTTCTGTGGTAGAGGGCATACTGATTTCTTTCTTATGGCTGGCCATCTCTCTTTGCTCTGTACATTATGCTGGGTCAAATTACTGGCATCTTTTTATCAGAGAGAACTGGGGTCAACTCCTGCCATTTGCACCAAGCAGCTTTGGTATAATGCCAGGCATAACTCAGGAGGGCACCAGTGATGGGTGGGGAGCTACTGTTAGGAATTTGGTTGTTTGTAAATAAGGAAAAGTATGAGAGTTTTCAGTAGGAAAACCATCACAATTAGTCCAAAACAGCATAACTCCACTAGCAAATATATCCCTGAAATTGTTTTATTTAAATAATTAATTAATTAATTAAAAGTACTTGCTGAATTCTGAAGCTCCATGTTGCTACAGCAACATTGTCTAGCAATGTGTTAATGTTGTATTTAAGAATACTCAAGAAGTTTAATATTGATCTTGAAATCTAAAATGATTTCTTTTTCAAATTTCAGAATTAAAAGGAAATATTGAGTGACATTGTTAAAGCTAGAAACACTTAACAAATTAAATACACTATATACTCTATTTGAGTCAAATATTTTTTCTAAACAAATTTTAATATATGTATTATGTAGCTTCAATTGATTGCACAATACTGTGGATTGGACATAGAATAAAAACTTCTGTTTGTTAAAATTACTGTACTCAGTGTATTTGCCTTCGTTGGAATGTTGTTCTGTGATTGCATCATTTTTAGTTTATACAGCTTTGTGCTAATGTCTTATTTCCCCAAATGAATTTAATTACATTGTCCTCCCTCTCTGATTATTGTATGTAGCATGACTGATTCAGTAGATCAAAAGTTATGTTTATTGGAAAACAGGATTAATATTTTATACTTTTGCTAACACCACCTTAAAAATAGCCACATCAAAGATTATGCTTTTAAGTCTAATGTTGTAATCTATTAAACCATACATCATTCTGCGTGGAATGTTTTTAAACTGAGGCAGTTGTCCCTTACAACGGTTTGTCTGTGTGGTTTCAAGTTATTACAGAAGTACACATACAACATTTGAACTGTATGGGGATAGAATTGTGCTACAAGGTCTCAATGGAGTGCAGTGAGTGGGTAGTGCCAACTTAACAGTATTTCCAGGAATTGTATGAAATGTATAGCTCATGTAGTTTGGCTTACATTAAGGCATTCTGGATATTGCAAACAAAATTGTTATTAAAACTAGTATTTTTTAAAAGCTAAATTTTTAAATAGCAGCTTGCTGCTAGTAGACGCTCAAATTCTGCCCACTACTTGTACCTTCTCTCAGGTAAGCAGTGAAGTGTTTGTTTTATTTTAAATGAGTTATATTCCTGAAACCAAATATCTAATATTGTATATTAAAATTTTTCCAGAAATATTAGAGTTTTGGAGGCTCATCTGAAGTAGAAAACTCTGGGCAGGATCAGTAACATCTTCCATACTTTTGTTTCTTTCAATCACATATTCCTCTTTTTAATTTTTGTAAAAGTGTCTTCTGTTGCTGTATAAAAGACCCTCAGCAAACATCATGGGAAACAGTGAAACGGACGATGCACAAAATTCTGAGAAATGCATAAAATACAAAAATAGATATTTTCCTTATCTTTTCACTTCAGTAATTTTAAGTGTTACTTGTAACAACAGTAGATTAAAAAACTGAGGTTGGTGTGCCTTTCTTTTTTAAGATGACTGTTCCTTTAAACATCAAAAACTAAAACCTGCAATATGTTAAACTGTTTAATACAAGGACATTTGCATGTACCTAAGTTAATTTAGATTGCAAAGTCTATTGAAGAAGCTTAGCAAGAACAGTTTTCATTCTAAATTATCATCTAACAGCAAAAGGTAGAATATCTGAGAAATATTCAATTAGTCATTACTACTTGACCGTAGTAGTAGGCTGTCTATAGGATTTAGTGATACCTGAATGGCAGGTTAAAGTACATAACTTTACTCCTGTGCCAAAAAATTAAAAATTCTGCACACAGTGTTTTAAAATTCTGCATATTTTGTCAAAATATCACTACATAATCACGCCAATTTCAGTTATTTTGGTAATTTATTTCAGAATACTATCAGCAGCTATGTCTGTAACAATACAGACACAAAAAAAGTCCTCCAGGAGTAGTGTGTTAAGGAAACCCCTATGACAACCCAGTTCCTGTTTCTGTGCCCCTTCCCCCAGAGCCCAGCAGGAGGGCCAGACACCCACAGCTCCTCCGCACCAGAGCCCAGCTACGGCCTCCCCGCCCCCAGATCAGACACTCACATGCACCTCTTATCCCCCACCACTCAGAGCCCAGCAGTGGGGGCGCCCCCAGCCCAGATATCTGCACTCCTCCCCCTCATAGCCCTTCTGTGGGGCCCCCAGCCCAGATACTCGCACCCCCTCTCCCCGGAGCCCAGGGATCCAGAGGGAGAAACCACCTAATGCTGGGTCCTGGGCTTGTATGGAGTTACCTGCATGGCGCTGCCCTCTCCTTCCTTGAGGACGTACTGGGACCTAGGGGTGACAGTGGACGAGAAGCTGGATATGAGTCAGCAGTGTGCCCTTGTTGCCAAGAAGGCCAATGGCATTTTGGGATGTATAAGTAGGGGCATAGCGAGCAGATCGAGGGACGTGATCGTTCCCCTCTATTCGACATTGGTGAGGCCTCATCTGGAGTACTGTGTCCAGTTTTGGGCCCCACACTTCAAGAAGGATGTGGATAAATTGGAGAGAGTCCAGCGAAGGGCAACAAAAATGATTAGGGGTCTGGAACACATGAGTTATGAGGAGAGGCTGAGGGAGCTGGGATTGTTTAGCCTGCAGAAGAGAAGAATGAGGGGGGGGATTTGATAGCTGTTTTCAACTACCTGAAAGGGGGTTCCAAAGAGGATGGCTCTAGACTGTTCTCAATGGTAGCAGATGACAGAATGAGGAGTAATGGTCTCAAGTTGCAGTGGGGGAGGTTTAGATTGGATATTAGGAAAAACTTTTTCACTAAGAGGGTGGTGAAACACTGGAATGCGTTACCTAGGGAGGTGGTAGAATCTCCTTCCTTAGAGGTTTTTAAGGTCAGGCTTGACAAAGCCCTGGCTGGGATGATTTAACTGGGAATTGGTCCTGCTTTGAGCAGGGGGTTGGACTAGATGACCTTCTGGGGTCCCTTCCAACCCTTATATTCTATGATTCTATGAACTGCCAGGAACCCTCCAGCTCCCTCCCACTTCTCCTGGCAGTGTCTTCTATTTGTGAGCTGGGCTCTGCTGGATCCAGTGCCCCCTAGTGGCGGTCAGGAGCTCTGCAGCCCATTTCAGGGGGGGCAGAAATTCTGTGCAAAAAACATTAATTTCTGTGCCAATTCTGCATTGTGCAGTGACACAGAATTCCCCCAGAGTAAACTTAGAAGTCTTCCTGTTGCATGATTGATGAGCTGTCATATTATCCACAATGATGTGCTATTGCTAAGAGCTCTGAGGAGCATATAGAGCCAAACTCAGCCATATTGTAACTTTACAGAAACCAGCAGAATCATACAAAGGATGAATGTGACATATATTGCTTACTAATGTACTTAACTCCTTTTAAGATAAGAGCAGTGCATTTTCAAACTGAAGAAGATTTCAAATATGCCTTACAAATTTTGCTAATAAGTAACAAACTAAACTATGTTTCATTATTGTTTTATTTCAGAGCTGCACCTACATCCACAATCATATGCCATTCAATTAGGAATCACAGAACAATGAGGGTTGGGGAAAAGGTGGGAGATGAGATAGAAGTATTGGTAAACATTTAAAGGTAAAGCCACAGTGCCCATACTGAGAAAATAATGACAAGCTAAGAAATGTTATTCTAACATATTTTGCTGTAATCCTGTATCTGTTATCTGTGAAAATATTTATCAGATTAAATTGTGTTGAGAGGGATATAGATAATTTAAATATTTTTAACCTTAGTCATTTTATAAACCAGTATCATGGTGTTATAGCAGAAGAATAGCAAAAGACAAATTATTAACAACAAAACCTATGTAAAACAAATGTCTTTAAATAGACTGAAATAGGACTTGTCTACACGTACAGTGATGCAGCTGCGCAGCAGTCGTGCTTCGGTGAAGACAGTATTACACCAATGGGAGAGCGTAATCCATCTCTGCAAGAGGCAGTGAAGCCTTCCCGTTGACATAGCGCTATCTAAACTGAGAGTCAGGTCAGTATAACTACGTCGCTTGGGTGTGGCTTTTTCACACTCCTGAGTAACGTAGTTTTACCAATGTAAATTTCTAGGATAGACCTGGCCTGAGACTATTCCCAATACACATTCTGAACATTTACAGTATAAAGCCTTGGTGGGAAAGCTGTTGCATTAAGCTGTCTGTTTCAAAGCTGTGCAGCGAACCTTTCTAGCAGGTAGGATGTTTGGTTCTTCTAAGATTATATCTTAACTCAAGCTAATTCTGCAGTAATTTACGCTCCAATTAAATCCTTTCTAGTTAGGTTAGCTAAAATGAGAACGGCCACACTGCAAAATAACACTCAAGCAGCACAGTGTAATTGGATTAACAGTGGAGAGTAACTATGTCCCAACTGCATTACTAGCTTGAGT